CCAAGTATGAACTTGATCTTGGATTAGGGATTGGTAGTTGACAATCAGTACTCAAAGCCACATACAGTGGGCAGTACCTAGTACGTATGTGGCTGACATGCATCTGAATTTAGAAGACCTCTTTCTCAATAGGGTGAATCTTAAACTACAGCAAATGTGTACTTGCATTTATTCTGGTTGCCTGGCATTTTAAAAATATTGTATGGTGCAACCTGCCCAGAACTGAACTAAGTAAGAATATTGTTTTCTATCCCATTTCATCTTTAAGAAGCAAAACATATGTAAAATACAAATAATACAATTTATAAAATGAAATATCCACAATAAAAGCATTAGTTCAATCCACGCTCGCAGAACATCACACTGACACTCATCTAGCCACAGAAACAGCCTGCACAACTTAGCCAAAAAAACTCCATTCAGCAAAAGGGCCTTAATAGGCTTATGAAACTGAAGAAAGTGGGCATTTTTCAGGCAAATTGTTCTAAAGAACGGGTGCTTTCACAGTGCAATAATGTCATCTTGCTGCAGTAGTCCTCACCTGCCATGAGAAGGAACAGTAAGCAAAAGTTGCTGAGTGGACCTTGACTGGTACAAAGATTATATATGTCAAAAGTCTGAACTATATAAGCAAAATTAGTTGTTGTACATTTTCCAGGCTGTATGGCTGTGGTCTTGGCATTGTAGTACCTGACGTTTTGCCAGCAGCTGTGACTGGCATCCTCAGAGGTATAACATAGAAAGATGGAGTGCTCCCTGTGTCAGTACAAGCAAAACTTCCTGCCTGCAGATGACTACTTTGGAAGTGAGTAGGAGGCTAGAAGCCATTTCTTACATACATGGTAGATATCTGCCAAGCTATTTTTAGCGTGAAGAAATATTTAATCATGATTCTGAGCTTGCAGTCTGAAGCGGTACCACACAGCATCCCTAAATATGTACTTCACGTCTTATTCTAGACTTGTCAGTCTTTTTGTTGAAGACAATGAAGGCTAACAGCCAGGCTTTTTCTGACAAAGTTTCAGAGTTCTATGTATAAAGCTTTGCACCTTACTTCCATTGGTGTTACGTGATAGGAGCATGGCATCCCCTGAGGGTCTTAGTGAGTAAAGAGGGCTCGTGTCACATCGAACATGGGTAGAGCCCTCTTTACTCACTAAGACCCTCAGGGGATGCCATGCTCCTATCACGTAACACCAATGGAAGTAAGGTGCAAAGCTTTATACATAGAACTCTGAAACTTTGTCAGAAAAAGCCTGGCTGTTAGCCTTCATTGTCTTCAACAAAAAGACTGACAAGTCTAGAATAAGACGTGAAGTACATATTTAGGGATGCTGTGTGGTACCGCTTCAGACTGCAAGCTCAGAATCATGATTAAATATTTCTTCACGCTAAAAATAGCTTGGCAGATATCTACCATGTATGTAAGAAATGGCTTCTAGCCTCCTACTCACTTCCAAAGTAGTCATCTGCAGGCAGGAAGTTTTGCTTGTACTGACACAGGGAGCACTCTATCTTTCTATGTTATACCTCTGAGGATGCCAGTTCTCATCAGTGTTTTGTTTTCTAAATCAGAATGAGTCAATCCCGTTTTCAATAGTCAATGGGATTAAAAAGTAAGTGGTGCATGTTTGTTCAATTCAGACATTATAAACTATGATTTGACACAAATCATAGCTTATTTAGTGCAGTTTATCCCATCATTCCTCCAAGGAGCTCAGGGTGGCAAACATGGATCTCCTTTCATCCATTTTATCATTGCAACAACTCTGGTAAGGCAAGATAGCCTGAGAGAATGACTGGCTCAACATCACCCAATAAGTTTCCTGGCAAGTTGGGAGTTGAACCTGGGTCTCCATGGCCCTAGTCCAGCACTCTAACCCGTAAACCACACTAGGTCTTAGTACCCAGACCCCAATCTGAGCTTCTGAGCTGTGGCAGACAAACCATGGCAGCATTTATTTATTTATTTATGTTTTGCTGCTTCCATTTTCTGCCTCGTCAGCTTTACAAGTTCATCATTCCTCTTTCCATAGTGCTGCAGCTTCTGTAGCCCAAGTAAGGGCTTTTAAGTAAGACTGGTAAATTCAGACATCCTAGTTAGCCTAAAAAATGCTTTGCAAATACACTTGTCAAGTAATTTATTTTAAATTCTAATTTACAAACTATATAAATTCAAACATCATACCAAACAATATTTCAGCTGCCTTAATCATCATTTGGTGTGATACTGGAACTTTCTAAAACTCCCCCCCCCCCCCGGC